ACCAGATAAATGGTTAGCAATCTTCATATGACCCTTTAGTTCCATGATGCCTATTTCCATTTAAATCTGAACATACAAATATATGAATCTTCTGAGTTTGCACATAAAGTATTTACTCGATAAAGGCTATAAATTAGGATCCTTATCATGAAAACATATGCATGGAACTAGAACTAATCATTCTTATATAAATTGCCAATCAAGCTCATTTTCATTACCATGAATGGATGATGAACCATTGAACCTTATATTCTCAATATTGGTAAAGAACTGCACAAGGGGTGGGGCTGATTGGCACCATATCATCCTTTTTTTGTGTTTAGACAGTGCACAGAGATCAGTGGCAACAGGTCATATTTATTGGTTACTAGAGTACCATGGAAAACCTCCCAATTATAATTATAATATTCTAGGGGAAAAGTGTTTTGCAGGTTGTTCTCCTAAATATTTTTTGAAGGATAGGTCTAAAAACTCTTCTTATTAATATTTTAAAAACCAACTGTTGGATTAAATGTTCTATTCATATAGATCATGCATACCAATTTTTAAATTCTTCTAATAGGCCTAACCACTTTATTGATTATAGGAAATTTAACACCGTTATATATATATATACATATATATTAGTAAATAGAGTTTCTTTAATCAAAGGGTTATAAGTGTTAGATCAATATGAAAATTGACATGCATAATCTACATGAATAGAATTTTCAATCCAACAATCGGTTTTTGAAAATATTAATTAGAAGGTACGTTTTTAGACAAGTCCTCCGAAAAATATTTTTAGAAGACAACTTGTCCTACACTATCCTCATATTCTAATTCTGAGAAAACTACTTTTGTGGTCTGGTTCTGAACTTTGGTCTCATACATTGGAAGAATGAGATGCATTCCAACTCAAGGGTAAGCTACCACAAAGTGCATTAAAATTTGTAGGGGAAGTAATAAGGTGATGGTCTTATATTGATTTTATTATCTTAATATATGACTGAAGGAACGATATACAGTACAACAATAAGTACCATGAGTGAATAATGTAAAATGGCATATCTTACTCTCTTGTTGCCATTACATCAAGTTGGAAAGTGCTTTCCAAAAGCCGCTGTGAATTCATCCACAAATGAAGAGATAAATCAGACAGATATTCACATCATTTTGAAGTGGTTCTCTTTTTGGTCTCTTTTTTTTTTTTTTTTTTTTTTTTTTTTTTTTTTTGGGGGGGGGGGGGGTTGGTGTGGGGAGTGGGCGGGAGAGGAAAAAGGACAAAAGCAATTTTCAATAATAAAGTAACTATCAACAGACACTCACTTGCAAAGAAAGGCTATCCATGGTTCCTGCTTCACAAAATGGAACAAAAGCCAAGTATGCAAAAAGAAGACCTGCTTCATATCTGGCTAGGAACAAAAGGAAATTAGTCCATGATATGAAAAGTGGATAAACAATGTTACTCGTAAAATGAACCCAAAATTTGGATTTTAGACACTACATATCATCTGCAATTCCAAAGGCTCTTTTCTCCATAGGTGTGACAGCACCAGCAGCAACTGCTCTCCTCCAAAGTCCCTCTGAAAGTCTTCCTGGATCTTCTTCCAAATTTGAAAAGCTAAGGAAACAGAAAGCCAATCTTACAGGCTATATGATGGCATTAAGTTAAAATAATTATGAAAGAAACCATGCATCATTCATAGTCCACAAGTTTCCCTTAATTGTTGTTTTTCCAACTTAACACGAATCCTCCAACATGAACATCATCCCTGCAAATTGGCTAACAACCATGCTCCCCAGCCACTCTCAACCTCCCCTGGATAGTGCTAGCAGCTTCCAACAACCTCCCCTGGATTGGACACTAAATGGTCTCAACAGAAAATAGGGCCTGGGTGTTGATACTATGTGCACAACCAACCTAAAACTGATTGAAAATAAGTGGAGTAGCGCCTATTATATGAAGTCCAAAAGTTTCTCCTTAATTAACTGATATGGGATTTTCCCCCCTTAACACTAGAGAACCAACAATAAAAGAAAGCCATAACATTTTTGCAGGATACATTGCAATGATATGATTCCTGATAGGCTCTATTATGTATTGTTGTTCCCTCAAAAATATTTGAAACAAGTTCTTGATAATTCCAACATAACTGAGACTTCAGTTAGGAGATATCATATGAGCACAAAATTTCAGCCCATTCATTACTTAAAGATATGAGAAATGGTGAACTTGTTAGAAAGGCAACTGCATGAGCTCATGCAATACACAATATAAGAATCTTAATAAAAAAACAAAGCTAAAAATTAGTTTTAAACACATATGTAGAAGATATTTTTTTGTGTGAAGAGAACAGCCATACCTGATGTCAACAGAAAAGGCTAGATCCCGAACTCTTGGTACTAAGTAAGTAGCATCACTCTCTATTATGGTACTGCCATTAAAAAGGAAAAAAAGACAAACAGAACATCATGAAGTGAAAAGAGATGATATGCTGTTGATAACAAATCTAATTTTTCTGATAAAATAGGAATACAAACATAAATATAAATATCATGCAATTAAATGGATATCTTAACACATACTTGAGAACAACAGAAGCTGGTCCAAGACTCTGATGCAATCTATCATGATTATGCATGTAGGCTAATCCACTCATGGCACCTTGGAGTATCTTAACAACAAAATGCCTTCTGCTTTTAATTGTTTGGTTCTGCTCAGAAGGACCAAGTGACTTTTCTCCTAGAGAGCGAGTTCTTGATATTTGGTTGCTTGTAATTTTTGCATAATCTGCCGCACTATACTTTCCATCATTACGAAAAGCAAGCCACTGTATGAAATAAAGAAATTCAATTTGAATATACCAAAAGGAAAAAAAAGCTCATATAGCTTTTATGGAAATGACAGACCTGTTCCCCGGTTTTTGTCTCAAATCCACCAAGAAGTAATAGGATATTCTTACATATACCTCTTGGACTGCTCTGTAAAAGTCATATAGACAAGATTAATTAGAATTCTGCTTCACACCTCATACTGATCTGTTGAAAACTTACTTTCTTACTAAATCTTACCTGGAGGAATGCATGAGTATTGAGTTCATTGGCAGCCATTATATCAGCCTCAACACCACCACCTTGTTTCCCAGGATAAACCTTCAAAGTTTAACAATAATGAATTTGAGGAAAGAGAATCTAATTAAACTAAACTAATTAAGCAACTTTTTCAATACATTGAATATAAATTATAAAATAAAGGAATGCCTTTTCTCTTTTCAGATTAGTCTCAACATATACAGCAAAACTAAGAGGATTCATCCAGTTGTATCTCTGTATATCAGAGAACAAATAAATAGGAATAAAAAAGGAATTCCTTAAAAAATTTCTTAACTGCTTAAAGAAGAGGCTAATGGGAAAGAAAAGATATTCGTTACATAATTTCAGAGAAGGCTCAACAATAAGTTTATGAAGAAAGGATCCAGCAATACTTTTCAATTTCTGAGGAGGGGAAAGTTAATGTATTTTACAAATTAATCTGCTATGTAGCTTATCTTTGGCCATCCTAGCTGCTAAAGATTTACAATATTCATGGGCCATCATCGCCTGACAGCTTAAGCTTTTTGGTGAAAAAGTTCTCGTCATGGTATCAGAGCTGACAAAGTAGTCTAGCGTCCAAACCCACAAAACCCCATTCTTGTCTCTTTTAAAATGAATTTAAAGCACATAAAATCAAGGCTTCTCTCTCTGCCAATTAGTCCCATTCCAAGTTAATAATCACGTAAATTGTTCATGTTCCTTGGTAGAGAAGTATTTTAACATGAGGCAACATCAATCAAGTAGCATACACGCACAAAACAAGCAGAAGAAACAGACTAACCGCAGTATAGCTCCCTCAAAA